ATCAACTATTATAGGCTTCTCATACGACTCATTACATTTATGGATTGCTTTGGTTTGTTTCTTTCTTCTTCTCTTTTGCTGTTATCAAAAAGGGGAAGAAATATTGTTTGACATCTGTGTGTTGTTATGACATCTGTTTGTTGTCATATTTTTCGTAGATTGTTCGTTATTTTTGTGTTGTTGTTCATATTTTTTTTTGGTTTGTTTTTGTTATTTTAAGTATTTTTTATGTGTATGAAAAATTAAAATTTTAAAAAATATGATAAGTTCAATTATAATGCCCTTTATTCTCACATGCTTATTTCATTCTGTAGGAGTTTAGAAGAAACTTTTGACTTTCAAATATACACAAACAATAATTATTTTGCCATCATAAAAAAGGATGACTTTGTTGAGAGAGTTGCTACTTAGCTTTGCATGATTTACATTCTTGCAACTTATATGTTTTGATGATTCAAAATATTATTATTTTGATTATTATTTTCTCCTAATACATTTTGGAAAAAATTATTTTTGGCTCTTGTCTGTATTAACATTTTAGAGAAATCATACTCCAAATTGTTGAAGACTTCAAATCAAGATTTGCTTATAATATTTTATAACTTGGAGTATGTATTTTTCTTTTACTTTAGTTTGAGAGAGTGTGATTGTAATTAAATACTTAACACACACACACACACACACACACTGAGGGAGAGCTTTAAAATTCACAATTTTAATATACTGATCGTATAGGATGAACCATGTTCGTACGGGACGATCATGTCAGTTATACTCCTCGAAGAGAAATGGAACGAACAAAGGGTGTGAAAATTTTTTCTAAGTCTTAATTATCCAGACTTTTAACCTATTCGTCCCAAGACGATGTCCTCTGGAATTTCATTTTAAACTATTCGTCTAGACTAATTATCCTGTTCGTCCCTAGACGATGTCATCTGGAATTTCACTTTGAACTATTCATCCATACGAATTATCCTGTTCGTCCTAGGACGATGTCCTCTGGAATTTCACTTTGAACTATTCATCCAGACGAATTATCTTGTTCATCCCAGGACGTTGTCATCTGGATTTTCACTTTGAACTATTCGTCCAGACGAATTGACCGCTTCATCCTAGGACGATGTCCTATGTTCTTTGAACTTATGATCCGTCCTGCAGTTATGTCCCAACAAACCTTGGGAATAATAATTCGTACCGAATGAACCATAATTATATGGGATGACGATTGGGTACGAAGGCAGTTCATACCAATGCACATTGAGGTCGTACGCAATAGTTTTTACACTGTTCGGACGTACGAAATTTGATTGTACGGGACGATCATGAACATGCATAATTGAAATTTTATAATTTTTGGTCAGTTTTTTGTGTCTTTCTTATAAAAGGGTCACTTAAAACTGTCAAGCAATCCTTTTGTCTATTGGTCTTCGTGCATACTAAAGGGAGATTGAAGGAGAGAGTGAGAGAAAGTGTTTGAAGGAGAGTTCTTACTACTGGAGCGTGAAGGGTTCACTTGATTACTCAAAGGCAAGGATCTCCGTTTATAAATTGTGATTACTTTGCTCTTTTCTCTTGTCATTCTAGATTTCTCGTGAGAAGATCTTTCAAGGAGATCCAGTTATCTACCGACACTCGAGGAGTGTGAATGGCTGAAGGGTTCTCTGCCTACACTTGGAGAGTGTGAAAGGACGAAGGTTCTCTGCCTACACTTGTAGAGTGTGAACAACCGACGGTTATCTGCCAATACTTGCAGGGTGTAAAAGGATGACGGTTCTCTGCCAACACTTGGAGGGTGTAAAAAGACGTCGGTTCTCTACCGCACCGGTAGTGGTGGAAGAGAGTTTTTGTAAAGGCTTCTCCACCTTGATGTGGGGGCAAAAAGAGAGACACATGTGGTAATAGTGCAATACCTGAAGTGGGAGACTTCAAGAAGTAGATGTAGGTCGTGTTTGACCGAACCACTATAAATCTTGTGTCTTTTATTTTTCGTAGCTTTTTACTTTATTATTTTTTGTTATCTATCGTTGAAAAATCATTTTTAAAATTGCACTAAAAATTTAATCGTTTTAAAAGATGAATAATTTTTTAAATTACCAATTCACCCTCTTTTATGTTAGTCTTTTGGGTCTAACAACCTAATTCATAATTAACAAGTTTTAACACCTTCTCTAGTAGCATTAGGATAAAAGAGGAAGATGCTTAGCAGCCCTAGTTCATGGAAGGATTCCTAAGTTTGTGTGAGTTTGAGCGGAAGGCTCACAAGATGCGATTGCTATACCTGTTGGCATCAAAGTGTTGCTTAGCATAGTAGGATTAAGTTTTTCATAAATAGTGCCAAACTGTTGCAGGCTAGAATATATGCGGCAATAGAGTTAGAGTCATACGTATTAGCATTATACGAATATCCAGCTCACACATAGAGAACATAAAGTTTTTATGTGGAAACTCTTGGAAAGGGAAAAAATTGTGGGGCATGGCCCAATTAAAAATGATTCTACTAGAATTCGAGTAGATTACAGTTGGCTGACTCATCCTTGAGGGTGATCAGATTATAAATGTCGACTACAAAGTTAAAATCTAGTGACAAATGAGGATGGTAGTCCAACATTACTTGGTGGTCTGGTAGAACTCCAAGCCTCTGGTGGTGGTTCAACAAAAGTCAAGGTCTTAGGTGGTGGTCCAATAGAACTTCAGGCCTCAGGTGATGGTCTGGAAGAAGTCCAGACCTCTAGTGGTGGTCTGATGAAACTCAGGGCCTCATGTGATGGTCCAATAGAAGTCCGAGCCTCAAGTGGTGGTCCGGTGGAACTCGGGGCCGCAGGTGGTGGTCTGGCGGAGGTTAGGGCCTTAGGTGGTGGTCCAGTGGAGCTCAGGGCCTCAGGTGATGGTCTAATAGAAGTCTGGGCCTCAAAAGTTTGTCTGGCAGAGCTCAAGGCCTAAGGTGGTGGTCTGGCAAACTCTGTACTTCATGTGGTGGTCCGGTAGAAGTCCAGGCCTCAGGTGGTGGTTCGACGAAACTCAGGGCCTCAGACGGTGGTTCAGCGGAGCTCAGGGCTTCAGGCGGTGGTCCAGCGAAGCTCAAGGCCTAAAGTGGTGGTCCGATAGAAGTCCGGGCATCAGGTAGTGGTCCAGTAAAAGTCCAGACCTGAGGTGGTGGTCCGACGGACCTCAAGGGCCTCAGGTGGTGGTCCGACAGAAGTCCAGGCTTTAGGTGGTTATCTGGCGGAACTTAGGGCCTCAGGTGGTGGTCAAGTGGAATACAGGGCGTTAGGTGGTAGTCGGCAGAAGTCCAGGCCTTAGGTGGTGGTTTGGCGAAACTCAAGGCTTCAGGTGTTGGTCCAACAGAAGTTCAGGCCTTAGGTGGTGGTCCGGCAGAACTCAGGGGCCTTAGGTGGTGGTCCGATAGACGTCTGGGCCTCAAGTGGTTGTCTGGCGGAACTAAGAGCCTCAAGTGGTGGTCAGGCGGAACTCAGGGCCTTAAGTGGTGGTCCGGCGGAGCTCAGGGTTTCAGGCGGTGGTCCGACGGAGCTCAGGGTTTCAGGAGGTGTTCCGACGAAGCTCAGGGCGTCAGATGGTGGTTCGACAAAAGTCCAGGCCTGAGGTGGTGGTCCGACGGAGCGCATGGCCTTAGGTGGTGGTCCGGCGGAGCTCAAAGCCTCAGGTGGTTGTCCGGTAGAGCTCAGGGCCTAAGGTGGTGGTCTGGCAAAACTCAGACGGTAGTAGAGAAGGTAAGGAGGCAAGAGCGATCTCCAATCTCTCTCTTTTCTCCTCAGGCTTAAGGTCCCTTTTTAAGAGAATGGAGGGGTCTATTTATAGATTTCCTAAAGTGGCATGGCCCGTAAATAGGAGGAAAATCAAGGGTAAATAGGGAGTGGTTTGGATGAATGCCCGATGTTGAATTCCTTGATTGTGGACTATTCGTTATACATTTGAAGGTCTTAATGATGTTGGAATTCTATGATCTTGGACTCGTTGAGCCACTCGATTCGACTATAACCATGTCACCTTTGGAAACCATTTGGTAATCCAAATAATGGTTCAAACCTTCTAACATTGCTTTGGGCCCTTGATTTGGACTATTTTGGCTCGAATTGAGTCGAATTTGGTGTCATTGGGTTCGTATTTTCGAGATGTTTAGTTCGACCGTAAGTTTACTGAAATCGGAGTTTAGATGGACCCAATTTTAATTTCGAAAGTTTCAAACTTGAATTTTCCTCGAGATTCTTGCCCGATTAAAATAGTTTTTTTAAGGATGTATCAACTAGAAATCAGAAATTGGTTTAATAGTTTTGCTTAATTCTAAATCTAAACATATGTATGTTGTTTTTTATATATATAAAAAAAAAAACTATACACATGGTCATTTTTTAAAAAGTTGCCTTATGACAAACTCACGTACACAAGTATATGTGGGCTTCAAATTCAAAACATTTTAATGAACATGTCAAAGTAATTTCTTCTTTTCTTCCTGTATTGCATTATCTTTTTCATATTTTCCTAAGGTGGGACAAGTTCCTCTAGGGACTAACTATGAACAACAATGTCATCAAGATAGACAACCAGAAAGCGATCAATATAGTTCTAAGAAATTAGAAAAGAAATCACTCATCAAATTACAGAAGGTAGCCGGGTCATTTGTAAGCCCCAAATGGCATGAAAAAGGGAAATTTACATATATATCACTTTATAACATCCTATTTATATATCTAACACCTAAAATTTTAATATTATATGTATACCACTCTATATTTTTTTAATATCAAATACACCACATATATTTCTTTCCTACCATTTATATATTTTATTTCTACCATTTATATTTATTTGAAAATGAACATGAGTGGTATATATATAATATTAAAATTTTAAGTGTTAAATATGTAAATAAAGTAATATAAGATGGTATGTATGTAAATCTTAAAAAAAAAAAAAAAAAAAAAAAAAAAAAAAAAACATAAATTATGTTTTTCAAGTGTTTTTTTTTTACTTGGCTTCGTTTTCAAATTTCGCCCATGATCTGTACGACAAGGGGTTTCGGGGACTCAGGGATGAAACCCTAATCGCTTCTCTAGTACTCTCCTCTAAAATGTCTTCTTCTTCGTCTTCGGTGATACCATGGAGGTGGGTAATTGAATACCTAGCCGACGTTCCAGATGTGGGCACCTCCATCCTGAGCGGTACCGCTTTATATGAACTTTCCCTGCCTTCTGGATTTTTACATATTTTCATCTCGGTATGGAAGATTTTGTCTTGCTATGAAATTGTTCGAATTGTTTCCAGCTCTGGTCGATAGGTTTCCGGAAGTGCTGGCTAATTCTTTCGGCGCTGTAAAAGAGAGGCTTTCTCTGAGATACCTTGAAGAGGGCTCGGGTATGGCCAGCGGAGAGACGCCACCGGCTGTGGCTACCAATGCTCCTTCGACGTCGGCTTCTGCCGCGAAGATTGATGCGGCCCTAACGTGCGAGGAGGTTCTGCTGTCAAAAGTATTCCTTATCTTTTCTTCTTGGCTGTTTTTAAGTTTTAAATTTGTTTTAATAAATTTTTTGTACAAGTTAATGATTTGGTTGCTTAAAGAAGAAAATCAAGAATAGCTTAGTGTTTTAAATTTGTTTAAAGAAACTTCGTATTTTTACTTTACAAATTATTGCTTTGGTTCGTTCTTCAAAGATGGAATTCAAGTAAGGAAGTTTGGTAAACGAGTCGTTAACTGACGGCTTACCGAAGAAATTTCGGCTATTTTTGGGCCGCAATTTCTCAATGCTTCGAGTTTGTGGTTGGGAAACTGGATTTCAAATCATTTATGGGTAAACTATCTCATACACCCTCAAGCCTCAAAGGAATATTTTTTCCTTATGGTGGGAACACTTTTGTTGGTACCGGGATTGGATTATTTTCAATTATTCTGCCGCATGCAAGCCTTCATTAAATGCATTCCAGCTTTATCTTATAAGTTTGATTATTCTACTACTTAAAGAAATGGTAATGCTGTTGTAGCTTCTAGTAGTTTAATTGTAGCATTGAAGTGATTTGGCGTATGGTGTTGATTGGAGTTTATGTTGCATCTAAAGTTATCATTGTAACGACTACTGGGTAGAAGAAAAAAAGAGTCATCTCTAAGGCAGACATTATTTTAAAGAGTTGGATGGTGGATTTGGTTCATGGAAGAAGGTTAAGGTTTGTTTGTAGGCGGAGTTTGAGATTTTGGAGGTGGTGGTAGCATGTGTTGGGTTGATGATAGGGTTTTGGAGTTAGAAGTTGGGAAGGTTTTGTTATGGTTGTTGGTGGTGGGTTATGCTGGGTATGGTACATGGTTTGATATTTTGGAGGTTGAGATTGGGTAAGTTGGGGTAAGATTGGTGGTTGCAGGTTATGTTGGATTATGGGTTATGGATTTGAAATTTTGGAAGTGTAGATTGAATAGGTTGGGGTAAGATTAGTGGTGTTGGTGCATGTTGAGTTGAAGATGGGTGTTGAAGGGTGGGGTAGGTGAAACTTTTAAGATGGCCGCAAGATGTGCTAAATCTAGTGCTAAGTCATGAATGGATTATAGTATAGGTTGGGTTACCAGTTGTGTTTGTGGTGCTGGAATTTGTTGATTGGGTCATAGTTCCATCACTTTTTTATGCTTATTGGATGCTTTAACCAGTCAACCTAACTAAGGATTCTCATCAGATGCATAATCGTAGGTATATAGATGAAAAGTCTAGAATGATGTGTAATCATACAATTGTAATTGTTTATAAGACATACGTGCCACATTCCATTCTCATCTGCTGTGATACATAACTCATTTATACAATTTACATGAAATTCTCACTCAAGTAACGAAGACGAGTGTTATGATATGTAGCCCATCTAGTACATTTGTCATAGTTTACATTAGGTGCTTGAGTGGACAAGCATGCGGAGTGTCATGAGAATCATGAACATAATCACCTCATTTTGAGTAAATCTTACAATTTCAACATTCATAGTAGTAGGTAGCATGCTAAGGCCACTAGTGCAGCAGCAAGGTTTTGATGCAGTAGATTTATGCTTTGAAGCAGCTGTATGAAGAGCTAAAATCAATCAAGCAGAGATATCAATGTATACAAAAAAAAAAGTGCTTAGTTTAGAATTAATTCTAGAGCATCATGCAAGCACGGAAATCATGCAAACAACAATAGAGCTTAACCACCAGCTATGCAAGCTGAAATAAAGATAAGTTTGTAATGAAATCAATATCTTCAATCTTGGTTCAAACAGCAAATGCATTCACTTATATGGAGCTTAAGCAATCCATCTAAGCAAGATTGCAATGTTCTGGACTGAAAGTTACCTATGTTTGCAAGAAATGAATTCAGCAATTTCAATGAGTAAAAAGGAATTAAGTGAGCAAAACAAGATAGAACGCTGCAACAGATATGTAGCGATGCAGTTAGCTATAAGCTGTGGACAACAAGCATTTAATCAAATGAAGCAACATTACAGCTAGCGGTATTCTGTCTTTTATTCCTTTGACAATTAGTTGGCTTTGTTGTGCATTTGAATTGGGAAATTTAAAATTGAATTTGGTGCAATTTTAGTGGGATTTAAAAAAAAGGGATTAATTTGAATTTAAATTGTGATTAATATTGTGCCATTCTTATACACGAATCTAAATTATGATGAGTTTATAACTAATTTTGAGGCAATGTAATTTTGAACATTTGGTTTGAATGAAATTTCTCTTTTAGTTTTCAATCTTTTGAATGCTGGATGCTTAGTTCCTTCGAGCATAGTAAGTGCGACTGCATGATTTCAGGGGAAATTGTCTTTTTATGCTGGCTTGGAAATTCTCAATTGAAAATGAATTACTTGTTCATTATCTATTTCTTCTGCCTAATTTGTTAGTGTTTATTTTAGTGCTTTTGATTTTCGTAAAAATTAGATATGTCAAAAAACTTATTTTATGGAAAATAATTATTTTGCTTGTTGATTTTTTTTTTCTACAATTGTGTTGAAATTCTCAAATTTTTTTTTGTCATTCATTATCAATTGGCCTTAAAGAGAGTTACTGCTTATTTATATTTAAAGAACATGAGTTCTTAACTTGATTGGTAACTAATAATTTGTGAATCCTTAATTTTCTTTTGTATGAACGTATACTGCTTATCATATTAGTTACTTTAAAAGATTTTATCCCTAAGCTGTCGGAAGGAAGAGAACAAAAGATTATAAATGGTGGAGTTGAATTAATCTCATTTCCTTACTAATTGCTCATTACAACCTATGCTCCTTAGCTTTATAGAAGAGAGCTCCCTAATTACAATGAAATGAAGTCCAAACAACGGAAATGAAATGAGAACTGTACTCATGGAGCTAATCATAAAGAAAAGAATCATCATATCATGAGGTTCATGATCAATTTGCATCAATTTAACTAGAGGAAACAACATTTTTTGTTTTTGATTGCTTAGATACTGCAAGAAATCCCGTTGAATACCTCATTTAAATAAATTTATGGATATTATGTCATCTATTCAATTTGATTCTGAATTTTTTGCTAAAAAAGAAACTAACATGGTTTAAATAAGCAAATGAAATATAATATTACATGATACGTTCTTTTTTAGTACTAGGTCAAGGCCCATTTTTGTATTATGTTATTAGGAATTATTTATGCTAAATTTATGAAGGGTTACTTGAATATTTTTATGAGACGCTATTGTAGATTGCATGTGTATGGTAAGTAGCATCTCTACAACTATATGATTCTTTATATGTTTAAATATGTATGTATAAGAATATGTGTAATCCATTATACCTCGTCTTCTCCAATTTGTTCTTTTTAGAGACATGCTGTATTCTTGTACATATATCAGTCATGTATACCATAAATTTTCCATACTTGACAGTCTACGATAAGCAGTTTATGTTATAACAAGTGTATAATTCTATATATGTATAATTATCTGTGTAAGAATGTCTAATCCAAGTATCCTGTCTTTTCCAATTTGTTCTTTTAGGAGACCTTTTGTATCCTTGTACATATATCCATCATGTCTCATTTAAATGTATATTTTTCATGCTTTAGTTTACTATAAGCACTTTTTGTTATAAAATGCTTAATGGGTAAAGAGAGCGTGGCACCTTAGCCTCTGTATCCTGATAGCAATGCAAATTTGCCATTGTATACAATGAATACATTACAGCAACTGTATTTTGAATATTTCTTTTTCCTTGGCTATGAATTTTAAAACTTAACCCTGAGTTGACTGTCAATCATTCTCTGTCATCTAGTTGATAATGGAAGATGCCCTCAGGCATTGAGCTTATAGGTATGTTAGAGTTCCAAATATAGAATTTGTGGATTTTAAATTCCGAACATAGATTGTTTCTCTTTAAGTTAATTGTTTCTTATAATCATGGAATATTTTCCACATTTTTTCTACTTTGTTGTAGAGTGGGCCTTAATTCTAGAATTATTCATTCATATAAGCATAAAATATGTTTGTTAGGGTAAATTTATGCCAAACTTTCCTGCTAGATGCAACATTAGAATGTAATCTATATAGTCTTGTCGCTTAGTGCTGTCCAACATACCAACCATACCAACTGATGGAACCAATCAATCCTTTTATCATTAATGTTAACATTTTATTTATTTGTTTAGAATGCTCATGTCTTTCTTCTTTTGGAACTCAATTGTTATTATCCAATAACTGTAAGGGCTATTTAGTAATTGCTTTGGTCATGCCATTCTTAGGAATATTCTTTTTATCCTTCTTTGGACCTTAAGAATGAGATCAGTGATCGGTGAGATGAGATGACATCTTGTCTTGAGGACTCATAAGTAGTGTGAGATAATCAGAATCCTTCTCTATGTTATATTTCCATTTTTTTATTGCTATTCTACTCTCCGTAGACCTTAGAAACCATCAAAAACGATTTTGAAACTCTATTATTTCGATGTTAGTTCTAAAAAGTGCTTTGAGGTTGTAGGGCTGTAATTAGAACAAAAAGAGGAAATTTGAACTAGAGAAAGCTTTTGCTTTTGACTCAGTTTTAGTAGGATATCATCTCATCTCGCACTGTGAGAAGGGGAGGAGGAGATGCTGCAAGGGGAGAGTTAGCCGATAGCTTACTAGAGCTAAAAATTACTTATCTCATTCATCAATTAGGTCTAAAAGAGGATGCAATGGAAATTGCTGGCCAATAGCTTAAAAGAACATAAATCATTAATCTCATTCTTCAACTAGGTCTATAAGAGGATGTGAGATCTATTTGTAGTAATAACATGAGCTGAAAAATGCTTAACAATTCTTATACATGTTGGATTGCTACATTTGAGTCCAAAAATAATAGAAGACATAAATCCTCTAAACAATTAAAGAGAAAAACTATCTGTTTTTAAACTTCTAATTCCCAAGTGAATCCGATATTTGTTGGGATATTGATGCTGATGATAAATGGCTTGCTTAGCTCCATTACCAAGTCATGTGGATTAGTTTGTTCCTTTGTC